CTGGGGTTGTTCATAAAGCTTACATTTATTTTAGGTTCTTGGATTAAAGTACTGTCTGGCTAACCCTTATACCTCTTTATTATGTAGGGAGCTTTACAAAAATAACATTCAAGGAACTATTCCAGCTGAGCTTGGTAACTTGAAGAGCCTCATTAGCTTGGACTTATATAACAACAACTTATCAGGGACCATTCCTTCTTCATTGGGGAAATTGAAATCACTTGTGTTTTTGTGAGTTGCTTAAATTAAGCACTGAACTTTACCTGTGTTATTGGGATGTTTTGGCTTAATTTAGTTTATTTTCTTGGACGAGAAATTGGGAGGTTGGCTCTCTGACAACTCCAATTTTGCTTGAATATTGATGGATAACTTATTTGGGATCCTAGATCACAGGTGCAACACAGGAAAAAGAATCTGGTAGCTTTTGAATTGTCGCATTTTGCAATTTCTTGAGTGTGGCTTAGATTAGGGGACTAATCACTGGCCTTGTATCAATATATGACCTACTGGTCCTCTTTGTGTCTCTGTGTTTCTATCTCTCTCTTTCTTTATAGATAGATATATATGTCTATATATGTATACTGAGATTGATACAATGAGTTTTCTTAGCGTAGTAATTTATGCCTTCCTTTCATTGTTGCTTGGATTGGTAGACGTCTCAATGATAACAAGTTAACTGGACCAATCCCGCGGGATCTTGTTGGTATTTCAAGCCTCAAAGTTGTGTGAGTGCTTCTTGTCTCAATCTATTTCTTCAATCCCTTCTTTTTTCTGCAACTGTGGCAGTTTCCTTATTGTATCTTTTCTGTTATAAACGACTGTTAATCATTTAAAATTGCCACTTTTCCAGGGATGTATCCAACAATGATTTATGTGGAACAATTCCTACCAGTGGACCATTTGAGCACATCCCTTTAAACAAGTAGGTCACTTCTATCATTTATCATTTTGCTTCCTTATCTTGTAGTCCTTTGTTAATTCAACGAGAATAATTCTTCCCTGGCTACAACCAAGGCTACTACACGTTCTCTCTTCTTTTATATTTTAAATATCTGTATTTGAGCTCATCCTTCCTTTTTGACACTTAATTTTAAGAAAAAGAATAAAGGGCTTTGTGCCTGCTCTTTAAAAAGAAAAGAAAAGAGGGCTTGGTTGGTTGCATTGCTGTTCATGTTTGCATTGAGGTCCTCATGCATGATGCTTCCTGTGTTTGGGCTCAACAGTTGTTTATTTTACTGTGATTTTACTTGGACTTTAAGTCGCCACATATACAATACTTAGCCTTTTGCACATGTTTACTGATCTTGTATACTCTATATGTGAGAATGCATATGGGATGCATATTTTTGCTTGGTCTTGAGCATTTATATTCAGATAAATAAAGTGAATTTCGCATGACATAAGAAGCAAATTACCATGAGTATATGGACAAATGAGTTGGGGTATGCACTTTGTGCTTCTCATCATTATCAGTCTATTGG